CATGTCCCACCTACCCCGGAACATAAAAGCACTACAGGGGTAAAGATTTTAAAGTCTGGATTTTAGCTGGATTTCGGTAATTTTGGGATGGGCGTGGCCCCTGGGAGTGGCCTGAGTGGGTTGAGAGGTCGAAACTTGATTTTTATGATGGTTTGGGACAGGTAGAACCCATTTTTAAACTAAAACATGTCCCACCTACCCCGGAACATAAAAGCACTACAGGGGTAAAGATTTTAAAGTCTGGATTTTAGCTGGATTTCGGTAATTTTGGGATGGGCGTGGCCCCTGGGAGTGGCCTGAGTGGGTTGAGAGGTCGAAACTTGATTTTTATGATGGTTTGGGACAGGTAGAACCCATTTTTAAACTAAAACATGTCCCACCTACCCCGGAACATAAAAGCACTACAGGGGTAAAGATTTTAAAGTCTGGATTTTAGCTGGATTTCGGTAATTTTGGGATGGGCGTGGCCCCTGGGAGTGGCCTGAGTGGGTTGAGAGGTCGAAACTTGATTTTTATGATGGTTTGGGACAGGTAGAACCCATTTTTAAACTAAAACATGTCCCACCTACCCCGGAACATAAAAGCACTACAGGGGTAAAGATTTTAAAGTCTGGATTTTAGCTGGATTTCGGTAATTTTGGGATGGGCGTGGCCCCTGGGAGTGGCCTGAGTGGGTTGAGAGGTCGAAACTTGATTTTTATGATGGTTTGGGACAGGTAGAACCCATTTTTAAACTAAAACATGTCCCACCTACCCCGGAACATAAAAGCACTACAGGGGTAAAGATTTTAAAGTCTGGATTTTAGCTGGATTTCGGTAATTTTGGGATGGGCGTGGCCCCTGGGAGTGGCCTGAGTGGGTTGAGAGGTCGAAACTTGATTTTTATGATGGTTTGGGACAGGTAGAACCCATTTTTAAACTAAAACATGTCCCACCTACCCCGGAACATAAAAGCACTACAGGGGTAAAGATTTTAAAGTCTGGATTTTAGCTGGATTTCGGTAATTTTGGGATGGGCGTGGCCCCTGGGAGTGGCCTGAGTGGGTTGAGAGGTCGAAACTTGATTTTTATGATGGTTTGGGACAGGTAGAACCCATTTTTAAACTAAAACATGTCCCACCTACCCCGGAACATAAAAGCACTACAGGGGTAAAGATTTTAAAGTCTGGATTTTAGCTGGATTTCGGTCATTTTGGGATGGGCGTGGCCCCTGGGAGTGGCCCTGAGTGGGTTGAGAGGTCGAAACTTGATTTTTATGATGGTTTGGGACAGGTAGAACCCATTTTTAAACTAAAACATGTCCCACCTACCCCGGAACATAAAAGCACTACAGGGGTAAAGATTTTAAAGTCTGGATTTTAGCTGGATTTCGGTAATTTTGGGATGGGCGTGGCCCCTGGGAGTGGCCTGAGTGGGTTGAGAGGTCGAAACTTGATTTTTATGATGGTTTGGGACAGGTAGAACCCATTTTTAAACTAAAACATGTCCCACCTACCCCGGAACATAAAAGCACTACAGGGGTAAAGATTTTAAAGTCTGGATTTTAGCTGGATTTCGGTAATTTTGGGATGGGCGTGGCCCCTGGGAGTGGCCTGAGTGGGTTGAGAGGTCGAAACTTGATTTTTATGATGGTTTGGGACAGGTAGAACCCATTTTTAAACTAAAACATGTCCCACCTACCCCGGAACATAAAAGCACTACAGGGGTAAAGATTTTAAAGTCTGGATTTTAGCTGGATTTCGGTCATTTTGGGATGGGCGTGGCCCCTGGGAGTGGCCTGAGTGGGTTGAGAGGTCGAAACTTGATTTTTATGATGGTTTGGGACAGGAAGAACTCATTTTTAAACTAAAACATGTCCCACCTACCCCGGAACATAAAAGCACTACAGGGGTAAAGATTTTAAAGTCTGGATTTTAGCTGGATTTCGGTAATTTTGGGATGGGCGTGGCCCCTGGGAGTGGCCTGAGTGGGTTGAGAGGTCGAAACTTGATTTTTATGATGGTTTGGGACAGGTAGAACCCATTTTTAAACTAAAACATGTCCCACCTACCCCGGAACATAAAAGCACTACAGGGGTAAAGATTTTAAAGTCTGGATTTTAGCTGGATTTCGGTAATTTTGGGATGGGCGTGGCCCCTGGGAGTGGCCTGAGTGGGTTGAGAGGTCGAAACTTGATTTTTATGATGGTTTGGGACAGGTAGAACCCATTTTTAAACTAAAACATGTCCCACCTACCCCGGAACATAAAAGCACTACAGGGGTAAAGATTTTAAAGTCTGGATTTTAGCTGGATTTCGGTCATTTTGGGATGGGCGTGGCCCCTGGGAGTGGCCTGAGTGGGTTGAGAGGTCGAAACTTGATTTTTATGATGGTTTGGGACAGGTAGAACCCATTTTTAAACTAAAACATGTCCCACCTACCCCGGAACATAAAAGCACTACAGGGGTAAAGATTTTAAAGTCTGGATTTTAGCTGGATTTCGGTAATTTTGGGATGGGCGTGGCCCCTGGGAGTGGCCTGAGTGGGTTGAGAGGTCGAAACTTGATTTTTATGATGGTTTGGGACAGGTAGAACCCATTTTTAAACTAAAACATGTCCCACCTACCCCGGAACATAAAAGCACTACAGGGGTAAAGATTTTAAAGTCTGGATTTTAGCTGGATTTCGGTAATTTTGGGATGGGCGTGGCCCCTGGGAGTGGCCTGAGTGGGTTGAGAGGTCGAAACTTGATTTTTATGATGGTTTGGGACAGGTAGAACCCATTTTTAAACTAAAACATGTCCCACCTACCCCGGAACATAAAAGCACTACAGGGGTAAAGATTTTAAAGTCTGGATTTTAGCTGGATTTCGGTAATTTTGGGATGGGCGTGGCCCCTGGGAGTGGCCTGAGTGGGTTGAGAGGTCGAAACTTGATTTTTATGATGGTTTGGGACAGGTAGAACCCATTTTTAAACTAAAACATGTCCCACCTACCCCGGAACATAAAAGCACTACAGGGGTAAAGATTTTAAAGTCTGGATTTTAGCTGGATTTCGGTAATTTTGGGATGGGCGTGGCCCCTGGGAGTGGCCTGAGTGGGTTGAGAGGTCGAAACTTGATTTTTATGATGGTTTGGGACAGGTAGAACCCATTTTTAAACTAAAACATGTCCCACCTACCCCGGAACATAAAAGCACTACAGGGGTAAAGATTTTAAAGTCTGGATTTTAGCTGGATTTCGGTAATTTTGGGATGGGCGTGGCCCCTGGGAGTGGCCTGAGTGGGTTGAGAGGTCGAAACTTGATTTTTATGATGGTTTGGGACAGGTAGAACCCATTTTTAAACTAAAACATGTCCCACCTACCCCGGAACATAAAAGCACTACAGGGGTAAAGATTTTAAAGTCTGGATTTTAGCTGGATTTCGGTAATTTTGGGATGGGCGTGGCCCCTGGGAGTGGCCTGAGTGGGTTGAGAGGTCGAAACTTGATTTTTATGATGGTTTGGGACAGGTAGAACCCATTTTTAAACTAAAACATGTCCCACCTACCCCGGAACATAAAAGCACTACAGGGGTAAAGATTTTAAAGTCTGGATTTTAGCTGGATTTCGGTAATTTTGGGATGGGCGTGGCCCCTGGGAGTGGCCTGAGTGGGTTGAGAGGTCGAAACTTGATTTTTATGATGGTTTGGGACAGGTAGAACCCATTTTTAAACTAAAACATGTCCCACCTACCCCGGAACATAAAAGCACTACAGGGGTAAAGATTTTAAAGTCTGGATTTTAGCTGGATTTCGGTAATTTTGGGATGGGCGTGGCCCCTGGGAGTGGCCTGAGTGGGTTGAGAGGTCGAAACTTGATTTTTATGATGGTTTGGGACAGGTAGAACCCATTTTTAAACTAAAACATGTCCCACCTACCCCGGAACATAAAAGCACTACAGGGGTAAAGATTTTAAAGTCTGGATTTTAGCTGGATTTCGGTAATTTTGGGATGGGCGTGGCCCCTGGGAGTGGCCTGAGTGGGTTGAGAGGTCGAAACTTGATTTTTATGATGGTTTGGGACAGGCAGAACCCATTTTTAAACTAAAACATGTCCCACCTACCCCGGAACATAAAAGCACTACAGGGGTAAAGATTTTAAAGTCTGGATTTTAGCTGGATTTCGGTAATTTTGGGATGGGCGTGGCCCCTGGGAGTGGCCTGAGTGGGTTGAGAGGTCGAAACTTGATTTTTATGATGGTTTGGGACAGGTAGAACCCATTTTAAAACTAAAACATGTCCCACCTACCCCGGAACATAAAAGCACTACAGGGGTAAAGATTCTCGATCTGGATTTTACCAGGATTTCAGTCATTTTTGGATTGGCCAACTCTGTGAGTGGCTTGAGTGGTTCAAGAGCTTAAAACTTGGTCTTTGTGATCGTTAGGGATATGTACTACCTATTTAACCACCAAACATATTTCAAATACTCAGCAACACAAATCCCCTTCAGGGCCCAGGGGTAAAGATTCTCATTCTGGATTTTTAGGGATTTGTCACAGATTTCAAGCTATTTGGGATGGGCGGCCTGAGTGGGGTGGATGTGTTACTTAGATTTTCATATCTTATAAGTGTCTTTAAAAGTATAAGTACGAGCAGTTTATTGAGACTTCTGACTGCTACCGTCGTACTACGACTCTACGACTCGTAGATTCTACAATGATAAATATTGTTAAGTACGTGCGGCGCGCAAAATCCACTACAAAATCCACTACAAAATTCAGGGAAACGTCTTCTGATGGAACGCGCGCTGTCATTTTATCAATAAGAAAGAAGTAAAATTCGCGCGCACGCGAGTAACTTTTGATGATTTGTAGAATGGACAGGATATTAATTGTTGACATGAGTCCAAACAAACGGGCTTGCACACAAATGCAAGCACGTTTACTAAGAAATTTATTGCGTTTACTGAGAAATTTATTGCAAAAAAACAGCGTGTTTAAAAGCTCAATTTCCCGCTTATTAAAGTTTCCCATCAGGAACTAAAGAATCATGACCTTGAAGCATGAAAGAGCTGGACGACATTAAGTCAGACAACGTCAAGCTGAAGCAGAAGTCTGCCAACCTCATCAAAATGAACAGACATTAACCTCAGCTTACTTTCGATTTATCATATTATAAGTTTTATTTGCTACACGCAGCGTCGTAAAGGTCTTCTCACGTATTATTTTCACTGAGTGTTTCAGGATAGATCTAAATTTATTGTCCATCAGTCAAGATCATAACCAAATTATCAAGGTCGTAAAACTAACGCCCGATTTCAATAATCTGCTTTTGACGAAACTTCATACCGTTGAATAGCTAATTAAGATTATTTTATGATAATATGTTAGATAATAGATAATATGTTCATTTTGTTCTGAAGTCATTGTTTTGACACGCATGACTTCACGCCTGATAACTGGACAGTGCCGCGTCGGTGAGATGTGACTATTAAATTTGCTGTCTGTCTTAATGTATAACTTGACGTATTGGTTGATATTATATACCGTCCCAGTGCGCCTTATTATATCTAGTATGTTACCATTGCTATTAAGGTTCATGTCGCTCTGCCCTAGAACGTCGTGCTCTAGTGTTCTTTATCTTTACTCTAATTCTACTGGGGTATGAGGGTCTGGGCACACCGTCCTGGGGCCGAACGACGATTACCCTATCTTGTGGCAGTTTCCAGACGATTATTTACCATATATTACAAAATTCGTGATCTTTATTTGCATGTAGAATTTGACGCCAGGGTTCGAATTAACGCTTTAATGGACTCTTTGTTGACTGTAATATACAGTGATTCAAAATTTTTGTACGGATTATTTTCTCCTTAGTTGAAGCTACATTCAGTCTTACGTGTTGAATGTCATATATTTGATATTATTCTAATCAATTCATTTTAATTGTGCGTATCGCTTATTCCTCATTATTAAGATCAATAATAATCTATGAGAGATACGTTGTAATAAGAAGATAAAATAGATACATGAAAAACGTAGATTCAAATATTTGCAGTCGATATGTTTACTATTACATACTTTCTTGTGGTTACAATTAGATGAGATAATGACATAAACCTTCTTCTACAGAATGACTTTTGTGTTTTGTAGCTTAACGATGACGTGACAGGAAAGTAACATGACGGGATAATTCCTTAAATTCCTGCAAGTTCCATCCATTTTTAGCTACCAAGGTTCGTTGAGAAAATAAATTTCACTCCTCGCCACCTTCTCCCCCGTTTTTATCTTTGCCCTTCTTTTTACTTTTGTCCTTTTTAGCTGTACCCTCATCCTTTTTCTCATCTCCGCCCTCTTTCTTATCTTCTTCATCTAATTGGAGTTCCCTCCCTAGAGGTCTCACTGAGTTCCGTTTAGCAAATTTCATGTATCTAACATACTCGTTAAAGTTCACGTGGTCAGCCTTCATGCAGTCTGAGTTCTTGATAAACTTTCTTATCTCCTGCTCCGTGAGATACGTATCTGTAGCACACATAGCTTGAATCATCATCTCCTTCGAAATTAGCCCCTCCCGCTCAATGTCTAGTTTTTGAAAGTCTGGGAAGTGATTGTAGTCAAACTTGAGTCTGGTAGTAGCTGTGGTGACAGTTTCTGTTTTAGGATTTGTAACTCTGACTCGATAAAGTCCTAGGTGAGTGTGCCGCACTTCTTTAATTGATAGTCCTATTTTCTGTTTGTTTTTTACTCGCACTGACCCTGTAAGTTTACTTTTGATTATCTTTTGTTTTGCATAGTTTGAGGTTATGACCAGTTTCTCCCAAAGTGTATGTGTCACTGAATGAGTTGTTGGCAATGTATATCCTCATTTCATTCAACATCACATCTGATCATGAAAACCCATTCTTTTCTACAATCGTACATACTTTTCTACAATCCGGCCTTTTTCATGAACGTGCTAAACTCGTGATACTCCACAACCCCGTCCCCATTCTCATCGCTCTCTTTGATCATCATGTCAACATCCTCCTCATCGAGGCCAGGATTAGCTTTCCTCAGAGCTTTCGCTAACTCCTCGTTTGTGATCTCTCCACTTTTGTCTTTGTCTATTTCATTGAACATCGCTTTTATCTTCTTCTCTCGTTTTGGATCCTCTACGATAAGCTCAGTTGTTGCTGAGTCCTTCTCAGCTTCAGGATCTTTTGTGATGGTTATTGTGTATTGTCCGCCGTCTTTAGGCCCAAATTTGGCGAATGTTAGAGTAATCGTGCTTCCTTCTGAGATGGTTAGTTTTCCTGCGGAGTGAATGTGAAAATCTTCGCTTGTTGGTGGGAGAAACTGGTCATGTGAATTCTGTGCAAACTTCCTGCTCTACGCCTACGGTAAATCTAGTTGCTAGTGACAAAAACAAAAACATTGAAATGTGCAATCATAATCTATTAAAAGCATAACTTACCAAAAGGCTTCTTGACGTCCGCCCCGAAAATCTTTTCTGAAATAACATAAATTAAACTCTTTCCTCCATCCAATAATAATTTCTTCAAGAAACAAAAGTGAACTTCACGAAAATGATAGTGATCTCTCACCTTCTTTATCTTTCCCTTTCACTATGATAACTCTACTCCATTCCACCTGTTCCTCGGTCACATCATATTTACAATGTGCTACTATTTCCACCGCTGTGCCCGGTACAGCATACGTCTCCTTTGGAATTCTGATTGGCCGCCCTATAAGTCCTGTGATAAAAATTATAGCCATATTACATTACTTCACATTCTCCTGGTAAATTATCCAGATATAATATACAGACTGCACTAGTTTTTGCCAGAGTTGATCTATAATTTTTATAGGAACAAAATCTTTTCTAATACCCAACATATCCGGTGGAATGCTATGTAAATGCTCCTTGTTATCTAAATGCACTTACCGACACCTTCGGCGAAAATGCACGGGCATATTTTAGCGCATAGTCCCTGGGAGAGGTACCGAATTACGTGACATAAAAAACTAATTGAAAATGTATGAGATCACAACTCCTAAAATTAAACAAGCAATTTTGAAACTTAAGTGTCAGTTTTTGATCTCTTACCCCCATTTCAGTGCTCCTGCTTCACGACATGGCTCTTGAAACTAAACACAGTATACAACGCTAAAAAGTCTTCCTTTAAGTAACAATACTACATATAATATACCAGCATGTGGTTTAAAAATAGCAAACTAATCATGATATCATATCAGTATAAGCTTACTACGATACTAATTGAGAACTTGTTAAACAGAAATATATTAATGGTTTTCAGAACTTTATCGTGGGGAAAATATTTTAGGACAATGGCTGACACGATAGTTCGGCTAAATGTTGGAGGGGTGAGTAATGGTTTAAAAAATATGTTCTAGCTGACAACATTTTAATTTTATCGAACAGTGAACAGTCCTTGTATATGATGTAAGATTACAACATTTAACTTTAAGTTGACTAAAGATTTTCAACGACTAATTCCAGAGAATATTTGAAACAACGGAGACCACTCTGCGATTTGATGGTGTTGATAACTTTTTTACTGCTTTGCTAAGTGACCGAACTCCTTCCCTCAAAGATAGTACTGGAGCGTACTTCATAGACAGTGAGTCTTGTTTCACTTTTAATTTCGATTATACCTAGTGATGGGATAGCTGCCATACAATACCTTGCGGGACTGGGGACCTGTTCATATATTAGATGCAGCGCCTTTCTGGTTTCCGTTCAGATGAACTTTTAATTCCTTTCAAAGGTTACAACAATCTGTAGCCTATAACAGAGATTAAACCATAGTTTCACTTTCACTTTTCAGGAGATCCGGATTATTTCACCGTGATACTCCGGTTCCTCCGGACCCGTAAACTGGACGTTTCAAACGGACTACAACTGACCGCCCTGTATGACGAGGCGTTGTTCTACTCTCTCGACGCTGTAGCTGAGGTCATCATGATAAAGGTCACCACTCCAGAACTGTCCGGGACTGGGGATGTTGGTTAGTTATCTTGTTTTATAACTTCTTTACTCTTCTTTTCAGTTGCTACTTTCCGTTATTTTACCTTCACAGTTCACTTCCTCCCGCACTTTACATTTTTAGACAGTGTCATCAAAATATAACAATTACTTCTCAATTTTATTGAGTTAATAATGTTTCAGTAGGGCCGAGGCTAAATGGAGCATACGTTAACAGCGACAATACAAAAGCTATCGTGTTTACTTGTTGTGGAGATAACGACGAAACTGAGAAACGGATAATATTAGTCGAGGACTCTTCCAAGGACGCCGTACCTGTTCAAGTGGACGCTTTCTCTCAAGCTAAGGTAGATTTCTACGATCTCGTTATCAGTCAGCTGGCTTGAAAGAAGGTTCAGACTTCATGGTTCTACCGTTTATTATTATGAGAACTAAGAAGATAGGGGTATGAGAACTGGGAAGCAGTTTACCTTTATAGATTTAATTTGATTAATTATGATGTTTAAAATTAATAACCCTACCGGGTAGCGAGAGCGGCGACAAGTTTGCCTTCTTTATGGGATGAGTACAATAAGGTGGACTACGCCGCTTTCTTCTACAAATACATAAAAAGAGGCAAATTCCTAATCCGACAGGAGGGAGGCAACACTTTTCTATCACTCATCGTAAGTTCTTGGTGCAAATATCTCATTTTTGTTGATCTGGAATTTAAAGAATGTTCTTTTGCGATCAATGATAATTTTCCAGTGTTAGATCAGTAAGTTAACCAGATGAGTAGAGATGATACAACATTTTTCTGATTACGTTAATCTTAATTCAGGTACCTGGAGGAGAACAGCTGACCCAAAACAAGATGGCTATTTTAGCATGTGGAGGAGGGGAACTTCTCTTCTTTGCATCTGCAGCAGAGAGCTCCTTCGCCAGGTTCAAGTTCAGATCTTTCAGCGAAAACGGAGATGGTACTTGATACGGTCTGGTTCACGGTTGGGATTGGAAAGATTAGATTTAATTAATGACTGGTTTTAGATTTTACCGGCTGATTTTAACTTGCTAAGTGATTGGAGATTTTTTTCACTGTATGTTAATGAGAATTTTCCAGTCATGTAAGATTACTTCAGTTCTTAATATTATTGAAAACCTCAGTTTTGTAGTGTATCCGAAATTTCATTAGAGTAGTCAGTCCTCAGTTACACGCTCTTTTTCTGCAGCAAGCCAGAAGTGACTTTCAGATATAAATGAGTTCTGACTGTAATTAGTTTATTGATTTTTAATTGATTTTGTGGTCAATTCCTATTGGACACTTTATGAAGGTCGAACAGCGGGAGATGTATTTTTTGGTATGTTTTGATCATTGCATAACTTATTTTAAATCATTTTAGATCATTTTACAATCTTAACTTTTAAGGTATTTTATGTTGTTAAATGGCCACAGATCAGTCAAATATCATGCTTCAAGGTCAAGATCAGTTTATAATAATAATAATAATAAGTAGGAATTTATACATCGCTTTATAGCCATAAAGAACTCAAAACCCAAAGATTCAGTTCAAACCATCTAAAGCGACTCATGAGTAACATGTACATAAGAACTTATTTTTATGAAGTATGGATTTTATGAGAAAGGTAATACATGATACTTATACAAATACGTTTTCAAAGAGATGAGTTTTTAGTTTCTTTTTAAATAAGACGATATCGGTTAGTGTTCTCAATTGATAAGGAAGCTTATTCCAAACAGAGGGTCCGCAGTAGCTGAAACTTCTCTCGGTTTTACTATAGTTTGAAATAGGAGGAACATTTAGGAGGAAATAGTCTTCTTCAGTTCTTAGTACACGTACAGGTTGACTTTTGATGTCAATACATTTGATGATATACTCCGGCGCTATGTTGTTAACGCATTTGAACACGGTTAGAGCAATCTTATACTCTATTCGTTGTCGTATCGGAAGAAAATGGGCTTTTTTCAGGAATGGAGTGACACTGTCCCATTTTTTGATAGCTTTCCAACCAAACAAGAATCGAACACAGGAATTTTGTACCTTCTGGAGTTTCTTTATTAGAAGATCAGGTAAACCGTATAAGAGTCCATTGCAGTAGTCTAGTTTTGAAAAGATCAAGCAGTGAATGAGCTGTCTTTTTAGATCATAGTTAAGCTTTGAGCCTATAACTCGAAGGTTTCTCAGATGGATGTTGCAGCAACTGATAATTGAATTTATTTGGTCTTCAAATGTTAGGAATTGATCAAATAGGACACCTAAACTTTTCACTGTGCGGGATGCATCCACAGGGTCAGCTGCATTGTCAAGTTGTATTGAATCGACTGGACATGAAGAGTAACTGTTCTTGGTCTGTACTACAAGAGCTTCTGTTTTGTTTTGGTTCAGTTTGAGTTTATTTTGGGTCATCCAGGTCTTAATATCTTCAAAACAATTTGTTATTCTCTCTTCGATTGTTGAGAGATCTCGAAATAGTGGGTTAAACTCAATGTACAGTTGAGTGTCATCTGCGTACATGTGGATGTTAAATCCATGTCTCTTTGCGATCTGATTGAGCTCCTTTGTGTAAAGTATAAACAGAATTGGACCTAGAATTGAACCTTGCGGGACTCCAATTCTAAGGAAGCATCTCTTTGATCTTGATTTATCAATAGTTACTGTGAAGGATCTGTTATTAAGGTATGATGTAAACCATTCGAGAACAGTACCTTCAAAACCAAAGTCCTTTTTTAGTTTTTTTAGGAGCAAGTGATGATTTACAGTATCAAAAGCAGCACTGAGGTCCAAAAGGAGGAGGATAACCTTACTTTTCATGTCACTGATACAAAGAAGATCATTGTAGATGGTAAGGGTCGCAGTTTCGCAGCTATGATTTGACCTATAACCACTTTGATGCTCAGCATGAAGATTGTGGTAGTCAAGATGTTTGGTCATCTGTTTCTGGACGCTCTTTTCAATGAGTTTCGAGAGGAAAGGTAAGTTACTAATCGGTCTATAGTTGTTGAAGCTATTGACATCTCCTTTATCATCTTTGATGGCTGGTCTGACAAGAGCACTCTTTAGGACTGACGGAAATTTTCCAGTGACAAGTGAGTCATTGATAATAAATGACACAATTGGTTTAACTTCATTAAAACACTGCATTAGAAGTTTTAGAGGGATGGGATCCTCTTCACATTCTTTTTTGTTAAGGTCAGAAAGAATCTTTTTGAGATCATTGTCGCTTATGGTTTCAAATTGGCTCCAGGCTTCACCTTGAAATGGTTCAGAGTGGTCAAGAAGAATGTCAGCTGCAGTATCATTGTTAATGGCAGAGTAAATCTTTTCCACTTTATCATTGAAAAACTCTTTCATCTCCTCACATAGAGTTTCAGCAGGTTTGTTATTAGGCTTCAAGTTTTTAGATATGTCCCGATCCATCAGCTGATTGACTATTTTGTAGGTATCTTTTTTATTGTCCTCACAGCTTTGCAGACGATTTTCATAGTATAGCTGTCTAGTGGTGTTTATAACTGCCTCGGCATGCTTAACAGCTTTTTTATAGTCTAATTTTGAATCTGCAGTTTTAAGTCTCCTGTTGTCACGTTCAGCTTTTCTTCGTTTCCTTCTGGCAGTTTGACATTTTGTGTCCACCCACTTGCTTTGATCAGGATTAATGCTAAAACAGATAAGGGGAGCATGTTTATCAAGAATTCTGCGAAGTTCTTTGTTATAGAGTTCCGTGGCAGAGTTGCAGTCAATAAACTTGTTGGGGTCATTTATGTCAGATAGCAACAGATCCTCCTTAAAAAGATTTATGTCTATATCTGATATCTTTCTGCCCACCATATCTTCTTTGTTGCTTCCTTTGTGGTGAGGAAAGGCAATAGAGAAATTTACGAAGTAGTGATCTGATGTTGTTACTGTTTTAGCTACATCTATATCTTTTATGTTCAACATATCACACGCATTGCTTCTAGTAAGAACAAGGTCTAAGATTCCACCCCCAATGTGTGTTGAACTGGAAATATGCTGGATGAGGCCATAGTTTGATATGAGATGGATAAAATTTATCGTATCAGGATCAGTGAGGTCTTCGACATGGATATTGAAGTCTCCAGCAATGATCAGTCTACCTGGAAGGTGAGTTAGACTGTCAAGATATTCATCAAATTCCCGTAAAAAGTCTGTCATTTTGGACATTTTAGCCGTACAAGATCGATAGACACAGCAGAAACGAAGAAGGTCATTGGAACTTGACTTCAGCACACTCTCAACATGTTCAAAGGATTTATGGGTCTTTGTAGGGCGTTTATTGAAGCTAAGATCTTTCTTAAAGGCAATAGCGACACCACCTCCTCTACCAGCTCTAGATTGGTGAACAATATTATAGCCTAGGTCTTTAATTTCCGCTATTTTTGACGTATCTCCCTTACGTAGCCAAGTTTCTGTCAGGAAACAGGCATTGATATTGGAGTCAGACAGTTGCTCAAATACTTGTGCAGTTTTATTACATAGTGACCTCGTGTTAAACAGTCCGACATTTAGGTTGAGAAGCGTAGTCTTCACATGTTTTTTGAGTACTCTGTTCTTTGTCTAAGACTCTCTTTCTCCAGCATTATTATGGGACAGTTTTCAGCACCAGAGTGATGGGTGTTACAAGATTCTCTGTATGATTCATAGGTGGAGTGTGAGCAGTTGGTGCATCTGTGACTTCTTCTGACCTCTTTGTAGGGACAAGCCCGTGTTATGTGTGATGCACTACAATACATGCAAATAACATCAGTTTCGTTGCACTGAGATGAAATGTGTCCCAGTTTCTGACATCGGAAGCACTGCTTAAGATCAAATCTATCAACTACTTTACATCTGGAATTTCCTATGTAAATGGACTGATTGTTTAACAGGAAATGCCTTATGTCAGGAGACACTTTAATCCCAACAGTAGTGTAGTCTCTTCCATAATTGACATACACAACTTTAAATGTTCTATCATGCTTAGTCACCAAATCTTTAACATATTGATTCTTTTCCAGAAGCTTCAATTCCATAAAGGTTTTAACCTTTTCTCGAAATTCAGGAACTGATAGATTTTCAGAGACAATGTGGGAGATTAAGTTGTTTGGGATATTCGTAACTGTGACTTTCGGGAACATTTTCTTTGCATCATTAACAGTGATTTTGGACGAAGTTACAGCTGATGAGTTTGCGAGGGCTATTTTCCCATCCTCTCTATCTTTTTCTGAAGGGAAGGAGATAACAATTTTGCCTGTCTTTGGTTTAGGGGTCAAGAAGATCACGGGTATTGTACCAAGGGCTTTACTAGCTAGCTTCCCTGCTTCCTCAAGATTAGTATTACTAGCTTCTACATTGAGGACGATAACATGATTATCAGGAGAATTATTATGGATATTGCCAGAGGGAAGTTTTTGCATAGGAGTTTCCTTCTTGGTTAGTTCTATGTAGTTGTCAGTAGCAGTACTAGTGGAGCTATCTATAGCCGATTCAGGAGACAACGCAGCACTGTAGCTCTTTGAAGATGAAAGTGAACTGGTAGTCTTCATTGGGGAAGCAATTAAAGAACTAGGTGTTTGCAGGGCTAGGGCTGATGCACTACTAGGGGTAGATGATGCACTACTAGGGGTGCTGGATCTTCGTGTAAGATTTGGTACTTCTGTGAGCAAAGAATCTATGTGTGATTTAAGTTTGATGGAAATAAGTTCTTCTACACTTGACAGTAAACTTACTTTAAAATTGCTCAAAGTTTCAATCAATGCCTTCTCATCTCCATTGCTTGAAGTTGTATCAGTAGTGGTAGTAGTCCCACTTTCAGTGCTAGCCACACTTTCAGTGCTAGCCACACTCTTGGTGCTAGCCACACTCTTGGTGCTGTCCATGCTTGTATTGCAGGTTGAGTCCGCAGTTTTAACAGCAGTTTTTGCAAGGAGAGCTTTCTTACAGTTAGGACATGTCCAGCCAAAGTCACCATATCTTTGAGAATATGTATTACCGTGTTTGTGAATTACTGGCAAAATATTCGTCAGGAAAGTCCGTGAACAAATAGACGTGGGCATAAGTGTGCCAGCCTTATCCTTACAACATGCGTGGAAAACGTCTTTACATATCTGACAAGAAATGGACTCATAGGCCATGTTATCACTTTTACACCGACAACACAGCCCTTTGAGATTAAACTTGGGGACTGTTTTTGGGTTAATGGCACTTTTCTTTAGGGGGGCTTTAGAATCTTTAGAAAAATCTTTAGAAAAATCTTTAGAAACATCTTTAGAAACATCTTTAGAAACATCTTTAGAAACATCTTTAGAAACATCTTTAGAAACATCT